TTTAATTATTTCTATGGCAAAGTTAGGGCTCTTGCCTTTGTTTGAAAGTAAGTTTTAAATAATAACAATCATCAATATACCATTTATTCACTGTGACGGTGGTAATAATTAAATGTTTCTCCAAGGGCATATATGGGATGCTTTGTTCTCATTAAATTTGTCATTGGAGATATGTTTTAATGATTTTCTCGGCATGGTAGAATAAATGTTATTTATCTTTTCGTCTTATTACATGACGGGGACTCGTGTTATTAATCGCTCCTATCACATCTCTTTGTCCTTATTCAATTCAATTCAATTCAACTACATTTTCGGGAAATAAAAATAAAGCCCGGAAAGAGAAAAAATTTTTTTTGTGGTAAAAATTTGGAATAATAACACGTAAATCCTCGTCATGCGATCATATAATAATAGTAATAACAATAATTATTAATAAATCATGATTAATAATAATTATATTTATTATTCTCATTCATTTATTATTATCACCATTATTATTGTGATGTGTAATTAAAATTCTTATTTGTATTCTTGCAAAACTATAGCTTATTAACTTATCTTTTAATGATAGAATTTCCGTGGCAACATACTTTATTTTCACAAATTTTTTTTCAGACGTCATTATACTCAACCGCATTGTTATTAAAAAAGAACTTCACGTTTGGCGAATTAGCAGTTGTCGCCCAGGCAATAACATTGCTTGCTGTAGAACTATGGGTCATTACCGTTAAAAAGGTTCGTCCATACATATTATATGCGTGAAACTTCTCATTCATTATTAAGCTTCTTTTTAATGCACGATATAGTTCAGACTTGTAAAAATTCCATCATTAAATCACCATTTTCCAAGCGATATTACCATCTTTCAGATTGCCTTAATTTTAGGAATGTTCCTAATAGGAATCATTCTTTCACCTTTATTGGTACATTCGAGGAATTTAGCTCAACGTCCTGCTTGGAAAAGCAAACGTAAACGTGTTTTTCAAAACAATGGTCGGAAATGGACTTCTTTTGCCTTATTGGTTGGCACATCGTTGATCGTTGCGTTTATAGGTCATTGTATACAACTCTTCTTGTCTGAAAATCCTTATATTTGGTTAATATTTATTTTTAAATTTGTCTATTTTATTACTCATTTTACCGTGATATCTTACGTTATTCATAATAATTCATTTATTTGATTTTAGGATACTGCATTATGTCTTTAAAACGCCTACGAGAGTATTATTGTGTCTATACTGGATTATTATAATTATAATTTCAATTGTACTATTTACTCACATAATACAAACACGAAGAATATATTCTTTAAATACCAAACGAAAATATTTTCATTTTTTAACTGTATTTATGTTTATTCCCGGATATTTACTTGAGGTATATGAGTTATCTTGATCCATTACTTTCTTTTTTTTTTTCCTTTGTTAGTACACATGATATTTACTTGTCAATTTTTCTAGCCCGAATTCATGCATTTGGCATTTAGTGTGGCACTTTCTGCTTTTATATTTTTAGAATATTTACGGTACTTTGCTGTATATCCTTTAGGAAAAAATATACATATTTTTCTAAGTGAATTTTTAGATAATCGTGATTCAGGCCCTTGTATTTTGAGTCATTTATATTTGTTAGTGGGATGTGCAGCTTGCATCTGGATGCAAGGGTAAGTTGATTACCATTCATGCTTAAGTGAGAGTAGGACAAAGCAACATCGTAACATTTTCATATTTGTTATGCATGTGTATTGTTTTAAAAATCTTATTGGGGCATAATTATAATTTAATGTTTTAAATTAAATTTAACTCTGGTTTTTTTTTTTTTAGAACCTCCATCCTAGCAAACATATCAGGCATTCTAACTTTGGGTCTAGGTGATGCTATGGTTCGTTTTCAATATCTTTTAACTTATTGTCATTATGTGATTATCAAGAGCAAATTATTTAACAAAATTTATCAATATTATTAGGCATCCATAATTGGTAAGCGTTATGGTCGTAGACGTTGGCCTGGAACATCAAAGACAATTGAGGGGTCCATTGCGTTTATCATATTCCATTTATTGGGTGCATTTGCAGTGACCCGTTTATGGCCAAGGAATAATTTGTTGCCAGGCATAGAAGAGGTATTAATTGGTATTAAATTTTCTTTTAACATAATTCATTATGGCCTAATATTGGCTTATATTTTGTAGTGGCTATATTATACTCTCGCTGTCTCAATTACAGGTAAGCTTTTTAATTTGTATTTAAATAGTTAATTGAAAGTTGTTGAAAATTGAATGCTGGTAATTTTTTTTTTTTTATAGCTTTTTTAGAAGCTGTTTCATACCAAAATGATAATCTTATGATTCCATTGTTTATGTGGACTTTAACATGCTTATTAATATAAATTTGAAAAACCTTTTTTAGAGTATTTTTAATTTCTAACATTTTGCATAATTAGTTTAATCATTTAAAATGTTTCATCGAACCAATAAATTCACGCATTGTATATTTAGAACATAATAATTGATGTATATTTTTTTATTCTAAATTGCCGTTAAAGCCATTTAAGATTAAAAAATTTTAGTTGTCAATTTGACGTATATGTTATTATTACGTACACTCTTTTCTAATTCCATTTCTATAACAACCAAGACTATGATATAGATTCACATGTAGCGATAAGTATTACGTTTCAGTAATCATGTGCAGATTCGAGAGTCTTAAAGATCGAAGCTTATATAACATATAGTAACCAGTGTTGTTCCGGACGTGGACATGGATATGGACCGTCCATGGACATAGACAAAGAGTGTCCAATGTCCATGTCCCTGGACAGGTGTCCGGAACAACACTGTAACATATATAACATATATACAATATTGGGCAGTAGATGAAAAAATAATTTTTTTTTGTCGGTTAATGTCATCCCGATGTGCCGCGTAACAGCACATGGATGACAATTAACTATAGCTCCAATACGGCAGATTCTCGATTTTTATTGACTAACGGCCGTGATCTGCAAAATTTTGGTCGCAAAAATTGTTTACTAGAAATTTTGGAAAATAAGCCCGCACTATAGTAAATTTGACCCAAGAACAATTTTCACTTAATAAATGGCTGTAATTTCATTAGTACAGCCTAATTTTTGATCGTCGCTCTTAGCCAATCAAAATCGAGAATCATTTTGTTACAGTAGCTAGGGCCGAATAATAACTATAATCCCAGAAAATGTAACATAAATTACAAACACGTTTGTCGGGAATCTTTGCGCATTTTATATTTTTAACAAAATGACATCACAGAATTTTTCTTAACTGCATACAGAATTTGGTCTTAACCAAAACAGAAAATCGGCCCTGGTTAACTCTGATGAAAAAAATTTTCCTGGATATTTGTGCACAATTTATTACGTAATTTCATGCTACACGTGTTACGCAATAATGCGACGGGTATTACTACTACATGTGACGATTTTGGGTTGTAATTTTATTTTTTACTATTCTTAACTACATCAAAAATATTAACTCCAACAGTTTTTCTAATTTTGATCGTTCCTCAGATACGTATAAACTTGAAAAGATTGTTGCAGATCAGGGCCGATGATTTTCTGCGGTGGTAAATTGCCGATTCCGTCCGTGACAAAATCAAACTCTGCAAAAATTCCGTGCATTAAGATTTATGAATTCTGCGTTGGTTATTATGAATTATGTGTTGGTTATAATAGAAACTTCGAATGTTCTACATTAATTGCTTATTCTTCGGATAATTTCGGATGACAAGCAAAATTTTTAATTCGACCATGCTTGTATTTTAGATTCTACGTCGGAAAATTTTGGAAACTATATTTTTAGCATCATGTACTTATAAAAAAATTATAATCCTACTTTCTGCGTCAATTCCGTGTTTAGGACCTGATTCGGCATTCCGTGAAATGCAGAAAAATCATCGGCCCTGGTCCTGGTATTGTTAAAACTCAATTTTTTTTTTTACAGAATTGAACCCGATCCTAATTTTTATCATATTACGTGTTCCGTGAGTTTTTCATTATTCGGACTGATCTAGAAAGAAGCAACTATTACACGAGTTTGTATTTTAATATATTTGAACTGAGTTCAAGAATCGGTTTTTTGTGTAAATGCTTCGAACAGTGTTTCAACGGGTTTTTAATCATAAACTAACCAGTTAGAGTAGAATAACATCCCTAATCAAAATATCCCCAGTTTCATAAAACCACTTTAAAGTTTCATTAATAAAATTTTGAGTAAATTCCCTCCAAAATTGCACAAACTATATCGATATAAAACAAAAATAATACGTAATTATATAGTAAATTATAGGCATAATAAGAAAATATAAAAAATAATAAAATGACTAATAAAATAAATAATACTATATACAGTATTACAATACGTAGTAAATTCGTAATTCTTAGATATATACTATATATACGTAGAAAGAAAAAACAGTTATTTTTTTATGTTAATTCTGATTTACTAAAGCGTCATTATATCATTCTCTTTATTCTACAGCGTCATAATAAATATCATCAACCATTTCAATTTTACTATTAAGTTCCTTACGACGCTCATTCCAACTTTCAAATTTTTTTTCATGGTCACATTTTGATTTTTCCATTTCTTTTAATTCTTCCGTAAGTTTTTTAATTTTATTATTCATTTGGTCTACCAATGAATTATAAAGTTCGGAATTATCCATCTTTTTTTAGAAGCATCGATTCAATTAATTTACATTCTTCTTGAATCTTTTTATCTTCATCGATTTTATTATTGAATTCATTTAAACTTTTTCTTTCATATCTTTCTCGCAAACCCTTGTAAGATCTATCAACTATTTCTATACTTGCTGTAATAGATGAAATATAGGGGAAAAATGGAGCCACGACTCCTGAAGCTAGTTGAGAGGCTGTACTAAAATTTTCAATAGTTTCTCCCTTAAAAATATAATTGCTTAACTTTTCTTTAGTTTTTATAAGTTCTTCTATTATCTCTTTTCTTGCTTCAATCATTTTTCCTAATTCTTCACAAAATTTTCGATAAAAGTTTTGTGATTTATAAACATCGCCACATTTTTCTAAAAGTTCTAATAATCTTTTTCTTGACTCTTCTCTTATCTTCTTATTACATTCGTTCAACAGTGCTGTTGTGGGTCCACCAGTAATATTAATAGATGGATTATTTACATGAATAATTTTAATATTAGCATCAATTAAATCATTAATTTCAGTATTATTTTTAATTAGAATTTCTCGATCTTCTTTACATTTATTAGGATCTTCAAAACTATCAAAGCCAGTTCTTATAATTGTGATGTATTTGCTAATATTCTTATCAAAAATAACTTCACTAAGCAAATTATATGCCATTTTTTCTTCTTTGGTAAATCTACCTCTTGTGACAAAAAAAACTTGACTTATCTCTTCCTTTATATACCAACATACTTTGGCTAATTCCTCTAATACTTGGTCTTGTAAATAATTTGTATCATTGATTCCTACTGTGTCAACAATTTTATATGTTATTCTATTATATTCAAATTGCATGCTTTGAACATTTTTGGTTTTGCTACTGAAAAATTCCCCTTCTTTAAAGATTTCTTTGAAATCTCCATTTTTGTTAACTAGCACATTAGCAATAGTAGATTTACCATTTCCTGTACAACCAATAAGAAGAATGTTTCTAATATTTTTTACATCCCCTCCCTTGACCACTTCACTATTAATTTTATTAATTTTTGATTTAGACTCTTCATCCTTATCTTCTCTTTCCTTTTTCTTTTTATGAAATTTTATAATTTTATTTATTATGCTGGTTTTTTTTAAAGAAAATTTTCTATTATTTTATTTTTCAGAATACACAGGTAAAATCTGCTGATTAAATATAAGTTCCCACTAAGAGAAAAGGTGTTTACACTTTTACATATGTCAGATCTTGCCTTCCAGAACTATTATCCTTTTATATATGTCAGACCTTGCTTTTCAGAACTAAATACTAGGAATGTAATGAATAGTTTAAACAGGCAAACAAAATCTGTCCATGTGTTCAAGTTGATCATTATATTTGTAACATCATGGAATATTAATGTAACCACTGAATTAAACAGTCTGATTCAAATTATTTAGATTTATATAAAAAACATAAAGATACTATATTTAATAGACAAAGTTGTATGATAATAGTCAAATATTTTTTGAAGAAATGCTGATAGCATTAATTCATTCCAATTTGTAGAAATATTTACTAGTGTACTAGCAGATCAACTTGTTTGCCTTTTGTTTAATGTAGAAAATTTAAAGTTGTTAATTAATGAAAAAACTAGTATTGTAAACTGACTATGGCAGCTGCAGTGTCTAATTGCGTGTGCAATTACTTTAGTTTTATTTGTATTATTCAAAAATAATTATTTTTTTTATGACTAAAATACATTACATGTTAGCAAAAATAAAAAATCAGCCAATTCTGAAAAAAAGACATCTTTATTTTTAACATTTAATTTTATTTTATTATTAATTAATACCATTATAAATTTGATCCTTTGTTTTGCCTATTTGCACAGCAGGTTCTCTAGCATGGTGAACATCCTTGTAGTACAAACCTTCTGAATTTGAAATTGGTGACTCAGGGTCGATCTGTCCAATAAAAGTATGAGATTTGTTGATCACATGAATTATTATAATTGGTTATATCGTGTATGTGATAATCGACCAATCAAATTTTATGATAACAAACAAATATTTTAAAAGATTTTATTTACTTGATTAAAGATATCTCGCAAACAAATGCTTAGAATTTGATGATTTTTATACTATTTGATTCATCTTATTGAGATGAATCTAATAGTATAAAAATTATCAAATCCAACCCAGTATATTGTGAAAATTTAACGATTATATAATCTCTACTTTTCTTATATCTATTCTAATAAAAATTTTGTTTTCACGTGTATATATTCTTTCTAATTAATCTACTCAATAAATATATTCTTTTTAAATCGTTTTATTCTAGATTTAAAATTTCAATTATTAAAAATAAGTAAGTAAAATTTAATTTATAAAATTGATTTATTTATTTTTTTTTTTTTTTTCGGTGTTAAGGTGACCTCTTGGCCGGGGACTTTTTATTAGATAATTAACAACATTACAAT